AAATGTATCATTATTATTGTTAATACAAGCTCAAGCATATGATACACACGAACACACACACGCACATATATACTAGACAAACGGGTTACGTCAGAAACATCTTATCAATGAAAATGTAGAGATAAGGAGTTTCCAAGTAAGTTATATGTTTGTATATCTATCTGTGTATCTATCTATTAAAATATCTCTCCAAATGGAATAGAATTATGAAAAGTAATGGTATAACAACTGAACAATGAGTTATTTATTTATTTGGACACATAAATATTGGCACAAGAGAGCGCCAAATATGTATGCACCACACAAAACAATGAGAATTCAAAGAGAAGAAAAAAAAGGTAAGGAGTGTAAAAAAAAGAGAACAATAAGGAAGAGACTGGTGTGGGGTATTGTGATAATAATAGTAATAATGGGGAAACGGAAAGGTACAATCAGAAGAAATCTTTTAGTTGAGTAAGATACAACCACTTTTTACGAAGAAAGTAAAAGAAGGTTACAACAGGATTGCTTCTATTCTGAGCCATATTTGATAATGTTTCTAGCCACTGTGTTGCGCCATCTCTCAGACCCCAACCAGGGAGTCGTGAACGACCGACAGAAGCCAGTCCTTTGCAGCCTCCTTTCATGCCACGACACCATGTAATACACTGACCACATCTCCGCTTCTTCCAACCAGTCCCAGCGTCCACAAATAATGTACGACGTGGAATTCTCTGGGACGACATTCGGAGAACATGTCCAAGCCACCGAAGTCGGTGTTTCAAGATGGTAACACCAATTGGATTATCGTCTCTGTGCCCGAACACACGATACCGAACCTCTGCATTACTAACATAGTGTTGCCATTGGATGTCAGCAATCCTTCGGAGACAGCGATGATCGAACACAGAGAGTCTTCTAACGTCCTCAACTCGGAGAGGTCAGGTTTCACAAGCATAGAGCAAAACTGCTCTCACCGACGCGTTGTAGATCCGACCTTTTACAGCCAGACTAACATCACGAAGGCGCCAAAGATGGCCCAGATTGGCATAAGCCGCTCTGGCTTTCACTATACGTGCATTGATCTCATCACTCACACCCCCACCAGCACTTATGATGCTACCCAGATACACGAACTTCTCGACTACGTCTATCTGCTCACCATCCAGGGTGAGTACAGGATTGGAATCCTGCCAGTCTTGTAGGAGTACTTTGCACTTCGAAGGTGCAAAGCACATACCATACCTACGGACACTGATTGCCAACTGATTAAGTGCGGATTGCATGCCTTGGGCATTATCGCACAGTAAGACAATATCATTCGCATACTCAAGGTCGAGAAGTCTTTCTCCAGGCAACAGATCCACACCACCATTACTTACATCCATCAGAGCTGTTTCCAGAATGTCATCGATGGCAAAGTTGTAGAGGAATGGTAAGATTGGGTAACCTTGTCTAACTTCACTGCTAGAATGGAACAATGGAGAGAGGTGGTTGTATGTCCTCACTCTGCCTGAGGTGTTCGTATATAGGGCTTTTGGGATGTTAATAAACTTCTCAGGCACACCCTTCTTCAATAGACAATCCCAGAGAACAGACCTATCCAACGAATCGAAGGCAGCCCCGATGTCAAGAAACACTACGGTTGTTGGCCTTTGATAAGTATAGCGGTGTTCTAACATTTGGCGGAGGGTGAAGATATGATCAGTACATCCTCGACCAGAACGAAACAATGAGTTAGCTATATTTTGTAAATTATTAAAAGTGTTAAGTAGTAATCGTAATTTAAAAGTTTTCAAAGGAATTATAAATCATTTCTGATCTGTCCTATATGCATTAAAGCTGATTTGTTTGACCCCAAATGCCTTGGTACAAACGCAGGGTGAAGAGGGTCCGCTCTTGCTCTCCAAAGGCTCTCACATGGCCAAGTGCATACAACCACTGACAAGGAAGTTCTATTCACTGCCTTCTCAAGGCGGTGTTGTTTATGAAATTGAGAAGACGAAAAAGGAATGTCCATCGCTTTAATCGGTTTAGTGGATATGATGATCCACTTAGTGGAGTTGGAAAACCCTAATTCCAAACCAATGATGCACATGGGCTCAAGGACCCTTAGGGAACAAATGGCATATGAACCTATTGTCGTTCACTAGTTGCCATGGGACTGTATCTCCTAATGTTGCTCCACAGCCTTATGGATTAGACGTCTAGGCCAAAGGGCCGGAGTGTAGTCCCCGATCACTATATATATATATATATATATATATATATATATATATATATAAAGAAGCAGCTCAAATCAATAGATTATCCAAGAAATCTTTTCAAATCTGATGTCTACTAGTGTAGACTTTTAAAAGTATAGCGGAATTATTGTTTTACAGGGAGATCTCAAATGTCGGGTTTTAGAACCTCTGTTAAAATACCCCATTGAAAGTGCTTTTAGTTGCTTATACGTTGGTGTCTACTTAGCCTATCGTCTTGACCTAGGATTCATTTCAATGAAAATTGAAGGATAGTCATTCTTGAAAAGTACTGTGTAGAGTTTATTTTCATCAAATAGTTAATTTTGTTCTTAGTAAAGGTTTCGTCCTTGCCATAAGCAAGTAACAAACAGAGTTCCCGTAAATAACACTTCACTATATACACCAATAATAAATACAGGTCAAGAGAGGGAAAGACCCAGTATTTGGTAGATCATACAAATAGCCATCTGAAATATTTCAAAAAGAAACTCAATACACAGTATCCACAGTTTTCGAAGGTGAGATGACGATTTATGATTGATCTGAGACGACGTATCGTTTTATAATAGGAAGTATGGAAATTACGAATTATTGACTTAGGTGGTTTTATAGTCAATGAATTTTTAGCACACTTATAGAAAGCTCCCTCATTATTTGTCAAATCAAGTCGTATATAGCATTATGGCAATATAGAAATACCAGAGTGAGTAAATTGCAGAACAATCCACTCTATGGTACTACATGGTTGAAATATGTGTTTGAGAGTCTCTTTGAAGGATTAATCGTGTATCTTTAATTCATATAGGGAGAAAAGATGATGAAATGAGAGAGGGTTTTCAGCATTTCGATTAAATTAACTGAAGAGACCGTGAACATACACCCACCCAAGTATTGCAGGAGCCGGAATGTATTCAACAGTACTGGTTTTCGTCTACTTAGGTTACCCAAGATCCCTCTATCTATATTACAAGAGAAAAGATTGTAAAATCTGGTGGCATCCATACTGTCGAGTTAATAGCCAAACGAATACCCAACAGTGATACGAGATACTTTACAAAATAACAGTTTTTCACTTGTCGTTATACTGGAAGAATCTAGGTTCTTTCACATTAAATGGTTAAAAATGAATAGACTATTAAAAAGAGTTTTCTAAACGATGACGAGATAACCCCTTAATAACCAATGTTTTTTGAAGCGAGCAAGAATAACTAATAATAGTAAATACACTTAGATGATAATAGCAAATTACATCACGAACTGATCTTAGTTAAACAGCTTTTGAAAACCAGAAAGCAATGAACCGTTTTGTTGTAGTCTAAAACTTCACAGCAGTTAGTAGCAACAACCCCATAGGAGATTTAAACCAAAATATTCGGTTCATGGTGCAAACACTCAACCTCTAGATAATTGAGCTGGCATCTATTAGTTTATATTGTCTAGCTTAAATCAGTTCGTGATATTGTTTATTATTTCCAGGTCTTTAGCTAAGATCATTTTATGATGTAAAAGCAATGGGCTACAACAATCTTCATAAAAACCCTTTATTAACAGTGATTTACTTAACTTTTAAGTTGGCTGACTTTATTTATTTTTCTGTCATGATTAGTTCGCATAAAAGACTTAATTTTTTAAGTATAAAAGGACGATGATAAGGGTACAACATATGAAGGGTATCCAATTAATAGAGCAAGTGAAAGGTGTGCACTCTAATAAAGGTGATCATCAGAAAGGTGCGCATTAATTGGGAATAGATTATATCTTAGCTGTTTGAAATTGACATGACTATAGTAACAACAATAACAATTTGTTACGGTATTCGAAAAATTACAGTATTTGCTGAAATACGGAAAATACAGTTTTAGTTGATCGTGAGGTATAGGGAAGGAGGGTAAATCGAATATATTTCACGCCGGTGAAAATGAGCCTTATTGACAGTCACCCTTATTAACGTGTGTCTTTTTTATACGCAGTTTTTCACTCGCCATCTTCATAATCACTCTTCTGCTTGCACTTTTATTAACAGTGAAATATAATTATTTTGAAAAGTTTGCATGATATTTGGGACTGAATTTTGATCAATCTTTGTTGGCATATCTGTGCCTTGTGAAGAAGGCCTTGGTATAAATATTTTCGCCAAAATTTGTATGGAACAGATTACCTTTGTCCACTTGTAGAATACAAGATACAAGTTTTGTCATAGTCAGGGCTCGTCAGTTGGATCAATTTGTCATATCTCTGTGTTGATTTTCAAACCGTAACTCAAACAGAGCATCGAGAATTAAGCTTTTTCTAATAATAACATAAACATCGTACCCGTACCATGAGTGAATGGCTATCGGCATTCAGTAAAACAATCGGTATTTCGTTGTGCATCTGAGATAAAAGGTATTGGATTCGAGTCTCTGTGTAAACATCCACACTAAAATGCAGGTAAATCTAGCAAACTAGTCCTAAATATGATAAAATCACACGTTCTGGATTACAACGCCAGCCATGATCCATTTATTCTACACAATAAAAACAATAATCTTTGTAAAGTTGGATTGTATGTACAAAAGGCATACATCTGGAACTTATGTTTCATCAATTTCAGGATGTACTTTGAATCTTAGGTGTGTTGGTAATGACACTGAGATATGAACTTGATAGCTATCGGTGTAAAAATCAATACATAATCTATTATTCTAGTTAGTTATAAATTTCAACAATAAAGAGTAATACAAAATAGAAATGGCTATAATTTTTATCCAAGGAAAAATAATAAAAGAAACTTACCAGTATGAATACTAGCCAAATAAGCTGGTATATGAAATAAAATTTGAATGTATTTTGCAGCAAATGCTAAAAACGCAGCAACAATCGATTGTTCCACTACAGTACTTAATGTTACACCTAACCAGACAGGATTAGTTAGTACACGACGTACGATATGATATGAAGCTGAAATTGAAAAGAAATATGGAGAAAAAAAGACCAGTATATTACGAAGCGCAGATGAAACAATTACAACATCGTAAACGGGATATCGAACCCACACAAAAATTATCTCTCGTTATAATGGGATGAATATTGAAGAAGTTGTAAGTTTCAGAACTGTTCTACGAATTAATAATATCTATACCATCTTATTTGTATAACTGGTAAGTAAGTGCATGGTTGCATTTCTGCATTACCCTTATTGTAGGCCTTCAATTTACCTGTCGACTGTTATTATACGTATTATTAATCCCTAATTATTGCAAATTAATTGTGTACTGTTTGCTCCACCCTCAACTACTAATGGTATGATTGCATTCAGAGCGTGACTTCTTATTTGATGTGCTATGTTATCAGGCATTTCAAGTATATTATTGTATAGATATTGAGTCTAGTTTACTTGGGTACAATAAAGAAATGATCATCTTCCTATGTGCTTCTTCTAATTGGCTACTTGGTGACAAGAGACTAGAGGAGCAATAAACGTTAAGGCCTTGATTGTGGTACATTAGTCGGTGTGTAAATTCGTGAACATAGGTCACCGGTCACCGACGATATAGCGTGTGATATCGATAAATATCTCGAGTCATACCAAATCAACAGATCTCAAAACATACCACCTCCAGTTATCACAAAAGATGAAAATCATTGAAACAATTGCGAGTAATATTTTATTTGTTCATCTTGCCGACATTAGTCGAATTCAATTGATTACTTTTGGAATGTGGTCAGTTAGGCTTATGGATTAAACACTACAGTAAACTTTACCTCGGAAGTTAAGAAATCGAAGTTTACTGAAAATTCTCATGACTGTCGGCGCCCATTAACAATATGTATATTCAGTATAGATGAAACTGATGATATCGCCTATTAGATTCACACCTACACCATTGAATATTACGTAATCAAAGATGTCATTACCTAGACATTCAAGCGGTCATTGGCCTCCTGGTTGATAGATGTCGGTCAGACCGACGGACTAGACAATACGGTATTAGTCACCACTTAATGACCAAATAATGTAAACATCTGATTCTTATAAGCTGTCAGTCGTTATTAGGGTAACACCACACAATGCAGAAAATGAGTTATTCCTCAACATAGTAGACGTCCCATGTTGGTGGTAAACACCAATCCGCATAAAACTAGGTAAAAGACGTATTGGTTATCAATCCCAACTACTAATAACTTAATGTTTTTTTCCATCAATCTGATCACGATAGGCCAGAGTATGTAAAGTGAAATTTTCCATATATACATTACTTTTAAGTAAATTGTTTAAGGTGTCACAAACACTCATCATGAAATGCTTCTTTCTGATTTCGTCAGTTGAAAATGTTACACCACCGAGTACTGAATTTGTTTGTTAAAAGTTTAAACTAACGATAAAAACATTTGAAATAAGAATAAATCCGATTTGTCCTAGTATTTAGTGCGGATGTGAGTCTTATGCAGAGAAATCTATTTAAATTATAGTAACATGAGATCTGGTGTAAGTACTATATCATAGTTTACATCATGAGCTGGTTAATGATAACTATACAACTGTTTCGTTCTAGTATGGAACTTCTAAAAAGTGAGTACTCATAACTCCAACAGAGTCTTTCGAACTAACAGTAAATTGTACTTGATTTGACCTAAACGTGATGTCTTTGACCATTAGGTTTTGTCTGCAATGGAAAGCTTTGACTACTTCGAACTTGAATTTATATCCTGTTGGAAATAAATGTGCTACTATCAACGATCTAGCCTCAAGCTTCCTAAGACCTTAGGCGTGTTGATTGTATTCTATTCAGTCTAATCAATCTCTCGTCCCTATGTAATTTATCCATTAGAAAGGGTTGAAAATTTTGAAAAAACTAGGTTTTTTAAATTCAAGTAAAGTTTATTCACCGATAAAAATGTTGAGAATGCGTTTAAAGTTGCACGTGCCGAGCTAATGAACACCTACGTTTATCAGCCTGTGTATATCTATCTATCCTGTCTATCTGACTACATTATCTCCAAACAGGTTTACATGTATTAAAGAAATGAAGTGTTTTTTCGTATATATTATTACCATTTATGCCTTCGCATTTCCCCTTAGTAAATATATATTCATGAATGGTTAATTTATACTAGAATTCGATTAGTTTCGTATATATGTTTGAACATAATAGAACTCTTATTTATAAAGTTTTTAATCTACTCTTTGTTAATATTAAAAAAAGTGAAATTAACCAATCACGTTTAATGCATCCTGATCGAATTGTCTCAAGGTTGTCATTCGATCAAAAGAAGTTTCAATGTGAACATTGCCACTATGACGAAGATATGCTTAGCTGATGAGTCGCGAAAAGGAAGAAACGCACAACCTGTATTCATTATTTAAATTTACTAATCATAGACCACTTATTGGAAAAATAATGTGCTTTAAACAGAAAAAAAATGAGGGAAAGACTAGTGAAGTCTCTAACTCCAACTAAAAAAGGAATCAGTCAGTAAAGATATCATCAAGCTGAACAATCAATCAAAGTCCCCATGTGTTATCAAGATAGGAAGCATCAATATATCAACTCGTAAAGTTAAAATACTCCCTAAACCAATTAGGGATAACAGTGAAAAGTTGACTATGAAATTAGTTGATTTAGAGAATTCAATGAGAAAAAGTACAATTTTTTTTTCTTTGAATAATACTTAAGAAATGATTTTATTATGAAGAGGTCATATCGAAAATAAATTAACAGAAAACATTTCATTCCACTTAGTTAGTAATCCCCGTTCTTATACAATCCAACTTTATATTACAATCAAAAGTTTTCACAAAAGAAAAAAACAAACAATGAATCTCAAGGGAATTTATCTGTGATGTTAATCTCAGAAACCTGACCTGTGAACATTGTATTGTTTACGGAAGTTTGATGATAAACAAGTTGATTAGTCAATTGATGGTGTGAAGCTAATTATTACGGTTACCTCTTGTTTATGTCACCATTTTATTCTCATTGCACTAAAATATAAGTCTGATAGGATTTTAATCGTTATTCAAGTGTGCTAAGATAAGCCAGTCACCAGGTTAGGAGAGGACAAACTGGAGAGTTATTGAGTAATGGAACTTCAATGTAACAGTGTGTAAGTTGATCAGTTACACAACTTCATTTAACTCCACATCATTAGTTGGACCGCGTCAGTAGGCTTAATATGTTGATCAGAGTCTAAGTCTACATTAGTGAACCCCAAAATACTCAAAAAAACCAAAATCTAGAAGACAAACGAAACAAATAAACACACAAACACTATTACGTATGATCACAAACAACAAATTTAATTATTACCTTTTATTTTTGACTTAAGATTAGCTTGGTTTTCACTAAATGAATTATTCAAGGATGTTTTCATGCATTTTCCCAAATTGTCAGATTGATCTCCACAACCAGCTATACCATTATTAACAACTTCGACAGTATTACCGTCAAGAGAATCAAGATGACCACCACCAATATTTGAATGTGAACGAAAGTGTTGATTTGAAGGGCTAGCAATTGTCCCATCACCACTAATTATAGCATCCTTGATAGATGGAGACTGTGCATAAAGAGAATTAGGAGTAATGGTAGTGGGAGAATAAGGAGATGTCTTAAGTGAATCAGCATGATTTCGCTTCATTTCAGGCAATCGTTGCTGTTGTTTAAATTCTTCTAGACTTGGATACTGACAATTGCGACTATCCGGTGATAGTGTATTGAGCAAATGATTTGATGTTAATGTTTCAACACCTGCGACAGCAGCAGCTGAAACGGCTGTTGTGGTTGTGGTTAGTGATGGTTGTCCGAATTGTTTGTTTATATTAGGCAAATTATCGGACGATTTTACGTAAGATAAATTCACTTTATTGTTATTTGTATTAATATTGGAAATATTATGATTATTAGATTGGATTGTAGGGGAACAGATCTATGATACATAAAAAAAACGAAATTGAACACCAGATTAACCTATTCATAGTAAACAACAATAAAATTAATGGTATTACCGTCAAATTATATGTTCAGTTGTGTGAATTTCATCGTAAACATGTCAGTATTTATGGCAGTTACTGAGAATATTTGAGGAAAAATTGGTTAGAACAAAAAGATACACAGACGTTTAGTTTCAGGATCTAAAAAGTCGAGCATCAGTATAAATGATCGGGAAGTCATATATAACGCTCAAACAGAACATCATATGCATGAGATAACTACGTCAATGATCAAATGTGAATAAACTATTTGGAAAAAAACCAGTAAACTCTAACTTAATCTAAGGTTACATAATGTAATGACCCCAATTGACTTGAAAACTTATCATACACGTGATGATAATGGATTAACAGTTAGTATTAATTATAAACTTACATAAAACTTCAGCTAAAACTGTCTAATAGGCAAATTTAAGATCAAAAAATGATATCGTGAAATTCTGGATCGAGTAATAACGATGAATTTACTGTACTATGCCACGTATACATACATCATGAATGGCAAACACTATAATAAATGGATCATAAGTGACTCATAGAATCCTATGATTGTTCTTCACATAGGTGGAGGAGTTAAATAAAATTTACCATCGAAAGCTATACACATAACAATTCTATACCAAAGATCATACATATATCCAACTCTTATTAAAACAATAGTAACATCGTTCAATCAGAGATAATGACAATAATAATAGTAGTGACAATAATACCAGAAGATATTTTTCAATATATTACAGGGTTATGGAGATTATTAAGTTTTCATTGAGATCGCGAAATACCGTGGATTGGTTAAAGTTAGATATTAACATCATCATATCCCGGCCCAGTGGTCTACAGGTTAGGTGATCGCGCGTGAGTCTGAAGGTCCTGAGTTCAATTCCCGCGTGTGCGCACTACTGGGGAATCCAATACTAGGCTAAAATCACTGTCTAATGCTTCCAGGTTTTCCATGATGATCTGACATTGATCAGTTTATGATCTCAATTATTATATTAGTTTCAACAGTTGAGATCATGAGCGAAACTGATAGGTCTTGAGTTCGAATCCCTCGAGGCGGTGTCTTGGATGCGCACTGCTGAGGAGTCTCACAATAAGATGAAACGGCCGTCCAGTGCTTCCAGGTTTTTCATGGTGGTCTAACTTCAATTGACTCATGATCTCAACTACTACAATCTCCACTAAAAACCCCTTCTGATACTAATATATTATTTATCAGAATGATATTTAAAATAATCTCAAAGATTGAAATTTATAATAATTCCAATATTTCGTTCAGTAATCTTGTTTAAACTTCTACAAGGTAATAATAAAAAAGAAATATATAATGTTTAACAATCACATCTACACTAACTACTTATTTAATAACAATTAGATATTGACTTTAGTAAGTAGGATAATATGAGTCTATTATAAAATGTGATTAGGTAAACAGTATGAAAAGGGGTGAATGTATGTATATATGTAACTTATTAAAAGATAAAAGATAAAAGATAAAATTGCAAATGCTTTTCTTTAATAAAAAAAACGTCGACGTGTAGGTAAAATATAAATAATCAAATACATAGTTATGATACTAAACCATTTAAATTACTTTTGTCGGAATAATACTATATGTGATATAAACAGGGTGGATAGAGATAAGATTCAAATTCTATAATTAAACAATGTATTATAAGATTTCTTTATCCTAGCTAAGACCCTGAAGGATGTCACACAACGTATCTAACCACTGGTTGAGATAATTATGTGGACACCAACCACGTAATCGACATCTTACTACATGGGTCAGTTCAACAATCAATGACTTTGGGAACCAAAACTACGTTTTTGTCTGGTTACATCCTATTTTCTACACTAGTAAACATCAAGTCTCGAGGAATGCAGTGGTTGGTCATACATATCCGAACCTTTTCAGTTGATGAAGATTCACTACCTCATCATTTAATCTGCCATAGTGCGCTTATGTTTTGGGCACCTAACCTCAACATTTCCCACATGGCTGTCCCAGCATTAACGAGCAATGCATCGAAGACAAATATAAGAGCAAATAATAATAACATACTAATATTCCCTACTCAGTAGGGTGGCACAAGTTGGTAAATGCCAATTGAGCCCGCTGAATCCGTGACAAGACTTAATCAGACACCAATGCACATGGGTTGACGATACACTTCCAAGAAAATTAAAGTTATCAACCGACCCGACCTACTGCTTCACTTGCTGTCATTAGTTTAGGAGTCGATATAAACCAGTTGTGAAGCGAAATTTAGGAATATTAAGAGTTAGGGTTATAGGCTGTAATTAGGATATGTGGTCACAGTAAGAAAAAACTTCTCAACTACCAAAATACCCATGACTGAGTTTTATGAATCACATCAAGTACGCTCAGATATCATCTGCATTAGGAGGAGGTACTTCTTATAACTTAGTTTATAAACTGTACCACATTCACTGAGTAGTTGCGCAAAAGATATTTCTAACAGTTTTAAGAATTGTAGAAACTAAAGAAAGATAATTTCTACTTGTTTTTTTTTAATTAAGATCCAGACTATTCTTTACTGCGCTTCAAAATTTTCCGGAGAATCTAATAAGCTCTATCTTAAACCTTACTGGTTCTCCGAAGGTCATCGATATGGAACAGTTACCCCCAAAACCGAATAATTATAAATTAAAAGGATGGACAAAACCTACTTTATCCAGATCTTCGGTTTCATCGTTTGGAATTGTATTGCTATCACTTTTTTTAATAACTGCAAGTTGTTTAGGAAAACATATCACAGGTAATGCTACAAAGAAAGTTAATGCAGCGCAGACAAGCATACCAAGCCACCAAGCACCAAGCCATAATGGACTATTACGGTCTAAGCCAGTTTCAGGCAACATAAATGGTGAATCAATGTAAATACTTAAGAAACCAGCACCAGCAAGAAATCCACAGGCAGGACCTAATCCACCAGCGCTGTAGAATAAAGCTGTGAGATGGTTAATAAAGACAAAAAAAGAGAAATAACAGAGTTATGAATTATTTAGTGCATTTTACACTAGTTAGTAATGAATAGAATTCGAATTACATAACATTACGCAAATTAACACTCGATGAAAACGTCGTTTTGAGCAATTAACTAACTGAATTGTAATACATTTGCACAATACATTTCGAACAATCTGAACACACACATATACTTAAGACATTTTCATATGAAAGGTCAGTTAGACAAATTAAAAGGTAAGCGGAAACAAAGAATAATAAAGTACACCTCTTATGTTTTATATAAAAATGTCTTAGCAAGTATATGTGTGATCAAATTGTTCGAAATGCATTACACAAATACATCACATCAATGTGATAACCTTCGTCTTCTCATTGCATTACTGAAATTTATTAAAAGGACTAATTTTATATTCACTTGGTGTTGTTTACTTGTATCTTCTCAAATAGAATGAAACGCGCGTCCTGGATTCCACTGCTAGCCACTATCCATCTTTGCTTATAAAGCTTGTGACTTCAGACAATATCGAGGCAGTCCGGACAGGATGCACAAATGCCAACATGAGACTGATCAATTGCAGTCCTAAACATCAATGGGAAGATTCAAGGAAACAATACCAAGTGAATATAACTTCACCCCATTGCACAGGCAAGTGGCTATCAGGACTCAGTAGCTAAGTAGATAACGTGATGGCGTTTGAAGCGAACGGTACTGGGTTCGAGTCCCAAAGTGATCATCAACTCTGAGATGCAAGCACATCCAGCTGACGAGTCCCAAACTGGGCGAAACGCAGTCCTGGATTCCACCGCTAGCCACTATCCATCTTTGCTTATAAAATAACTGAATTGCGCTACACAAAATGTTAACATCAGTAACATCAAATCCAGATTATTTCACACCAAATCTAATCCTAAATCAAGGCACTATAGTGGTTCAATTTGCTTTATTTTATGAGTGAAACACGACAACAATAAGGTGAAAGTATAATTGATGAACCACTCCTACTAAAATTGAGTATACGTCATTTATGTTTTGGCGTTAAATTGAAAAGTGAATGACTTTTATTTTATAACACGTAAAGCGAAATGCAGAAAATGAAAACTTATTTTCTAATAGCAGTATTAAACACACCAAGCACTTATTCATATGGACAAATTTATATATTGTTATTTCTTCAATTTACCAAGACTTTAGTACACTTATTGATTATGCAAAATCGATTTATTCTTGGCAAAGTTACTTTATAATCAAAAAGGGGCTTTGTGGATAATATAGTAATTTAACAGTTGAATTCATGAGTCAATGAAAGCTAGACCACCATAGAATTTCGTAGATTGGTTGATGTTAGATATTAACATCGTCGAATGTCGGCTCAGTGGTCTAGGGGTTAAGTGTTCGCGCACGAGACCGATAGGTCCAGGGTTATAATCCCCAGTGTGGGATCGTGGATGCACGATGCTGAGGAGTCCTATACAACGGCCATCCAGTGCTTCCAGATTTTCCATGATGGTCAAGCTTTCATTGACTCATGAATTTAACTATTAAAATTACTTTATGTGCATATTCATTAGTAGTTTGACAGAAACAGTGCATTGAAGGTATAAAAAACATTATATATATAATTATATTTAAATAATTCCAACATTTCATCAAGCAACCTTATCTGGACTTCCTCAGGATATTAATCAAAATTATCAAAGAATACATAACGTTTTAACAAACAAATCTGCATTAACAGTTTATCATTCGTGATTTACAGTGTATACAAAAAGTTTCAACTTCTGTAGATTCCTATGAGCTATCAAAACTCACAAGAATAATATATACCATAAAGATTAGGATTAATATTAAAAAAGTAAATATTAATAGAGGTTAAGATAATACTGACAATTATGAAAAGTACACAGTAAGCGACATGTTGATAAATTGCAAACTTATATGAGAGTTTGTATTTATATGTAGTAAGTTCATTTCGTACACACGGACACACATATACATACATAGACACCATTAGAGTTGAAAAAAATATGAAATGCAAAAAAAACCAGCCTTTACAAGTTGTTTATTCTATAAAATAGCTCAGTGACTAAATGCACAGTGTTTACTCAATCATGAGTCACATTTTTTGTGCTCTTGCTTAGAAATAATGTAAAATAAATCGACGCAAAACTATTGTTTAACTTTGAAATTAATTAATAAAATTTGCGACTTAAATAATTTAGTAGCACATTATCAAGATGTTAAATCGATCGGAACCCCAACAGGTAGCATCATTTCCTTTGAGATTATGAATGAGTGTTAGTAAAGACAGTTATCTAGCACAAAGTCTAGGTTCAGAATCTCCTATCTCCTTAAGTTATGTAACATCTTAAAAAGTGCTGAAAACACATCGTCACCAAGTTAACCAGAATTGTAGGCAATATATAAATAAAAATGGATGAAAATCATACTAGCACAAATCAGTTGAAGACAAAAATATGAACCAGGAACTTCTGATGCAGAGCTGTGATACAATACCTGAAGATAGTTGATAAGTACTGTTGAGGAGTTCTAGCCAGTCAGTCATATGCGACGTAGAACTTGTCACATACATTTGTGTTCAAGATGCCACACCAAATTAGAATAGATAATAAGTTACACAGAAGAAAACAACTATTTAGCGCTTTCTAATGTTTTATTTATTTATTTATTTTAACACATAGATATTGGTACAAGAAGGCACCAAATACATATGCGCCACACAAAATCTCATTCGATATGTGTGAGGGCTGTGATACTACCCGGGTGCCCAAACCGAAGCAGGTGGTTTTCTTAGGGGGCCACTCCCCGAGCCTTTGACATAGAGGTCTGACCCACAAGGCAGTAGAGCATCGTAAGGAGATGCAGTCCCATGGTAGCCGGTGACCAACGATTGGTTCATACGCCATTTGTTCCCGCAGGATACTAGAGCCCATGTGCACCATCAGTTTGGGATCCGGTTAAAGCGCCGGACATTCGCTTTTCGTCCTCTCATTTTTGTAAATAACACCCCCGCCACGAGAAGGCAGTGAGTAGGACTTCCCTGACAGAGGCTATATACGCGTGGCCATGTGAGAGCATTTGAGAGGGAGAGCGGACTTTCCCCACTCTCGGCCGTACCAGGGCATTTGGGGGCTTTCTAATGTTACAGCTAATATTAGATTGGGTCGAAATATTTCTCTCAAAATTGTAACAAACAGATAGAAATTTAATGAACTTACTAATTTATAATTTAATCAGAGTAATTCCATAAACGAATTAAGTATTCTTAAGTGTTGATTGGTTGAACAAAATATCATAAGCCTTGAGATTATTTAAAACAATCAATGATATTTATGAGAAACACATAAGTCTTCAGACATGATACAAACAAAACTCATGTTATGTATCAGTTAACAATATCTCCATTAAAAACGTCCGTCTAATACAGCCCGTTTTTTCTTCCTTCTGTGAGCTGACAGAAGACTTGATTGACTGGTCAATAAAATTTTTGGTCATTACTACTAGAATTCATCTGCCATCTGTACATGATATATGTATATAAGAAAACATACAGGAAAGAAACTAATGTTCAAGTCCAAGAGTAAACATCAACTCTGAGATGCAAGTACATCCAGCTGACCAGTCCCAGACAGGACGAAACGTGCGTCAAATTGAATTCCACTGCTAGCCACTATCTATCTTTGCTTGTATTAATCTGAGTTTAATTTCAAATCAGAAAGTTTCTTAGTACTCTGTTCAACTTTTGTCTCTTAGTGCCATCTAAGAGTCTGAGAAAATAAAATGTTTCCTTTATAATTATCAATAGTTAACACATTATAGTCAACCTGTAAAAGAAATCCAACGCAAATCAATCCAGTATAAATGATTTTTTTATATATAGAATAGAAATAGAACACATCATCATCACTGGATAGAACTTTCGCGATATTATAATCCGTTGAACATAAATTTAAAACTGATTACAACATAATGAGGTTAACCAACACATTTGAAATCTGTTGATCGGAGGATAATCATTGAAGGTTTAAGGTCAACAAGAACCAATCAACATTGAGGTCTACAAGACAAGCTGTGAAAGACATGTGGAGAGATTCGAACACCTCATTTCTACCTGACGTTTGAGCTGATGATCTCGTTCAGAAGAACGATGAAAGCTCCACAACCAAACCATCCAGCTCAGAGAACAAAACCCCACCAAAATTGATCATTCAACATTTGTCCTTTTTTGTTATTACATCCCTTTTTTACATCTTCTTCATTTTAAAAAACGTATCTCTAATATGATTAGGTTGATTTCTAACGTTTAAACAAAAAAAATATAGTGTATTTGTTGTTTATAAAAATTAGTGATTTCTTGTTTCTTAATATTCATGACTGGATATCTTAAGCAGTCTCCATTGGTATATATGCATAAATGAATAAATTAGTGAGTATCTGGACACTCAGTTGCCCATTAATGTTTAAAGTGGTAGGTGAACTATTTGACTCTTACAGTGAACAACAACAAACTAGGATGTACGTACGTCCAGCCGATGAGTCCCGAACACGACATAAGGCGCATCTTGAATCCCACTGACAGTCGAAATTCAGAAAAATGCAATCCAAGGTGTAAAAAGGCATTTTTTATACATACATACTTCATGATGCATCTATACACATAAATCCGTACGCTCGACACAACTCATCTTAAACTGAAGATAAACACATATCATATTGAAATGTAACTTAGTAAAAACAACCAATTTAAGAATCACATCAAATTAATCTAGTTGAATGTTTTCCAAAAAGAGAGAAACTATTTAAAAATGCATTTTTAAGAACACAAAAATAACTTTGAATTAAGATATGAAATATACCGAATGCAATCATAATTACAATCATTCAAACATAAATCGCATATTTAAGTAGCTACATGTATTCTCATGCAAAAATAATTCATTCACTAATTTATAAAAACCATG